TCAAAAAATTGGTTCTGAATTTAAAAAAAAATGCTTTTGCACATAAATAAAAAGCAATTGCTTGTTTCCATTTTTCAAAAAATATTTTTCAGAAAATTCTACTTTCTTATTTTTCGCATTTTTTTATTTTTACTGAATTTTTTTAATATTTTAAGCAATTTTTTTTACTTTTTAGACATACCTAACATAAATACACCTAAAAAGTTAAAAAATTGTAAAAAAATCTTTTAAAAATTCACTAAATACCAAAAATACAAAAAAATACAAGAATTCAGTACATTTTTTGTATTTTTATGTATTTATTAATTTTAAAAATATTTTTTCACAAAATTTTTACTTTTTAGATACATCTAAGTATGATGCATCTAAAAAAGTAAAAAAATGTTTAAAATTTAAAAAATATTTACTAAAAACAAAAAAACACGAAAACCAAAAAAGTCAATTTTCAAAAAACTTAATCCAGAAAACTCAAACTAAACACACTGATTAGTGTTCTGGACTATTCATTATTTTTTTCCCATCAAATAAAAAAATTGAAAATAAAGAGAACAAAAAGGATTCCAAACTTAGGAGTTGTTTGGGGTGTCCTAAATAAGTGTATTTTTTGTCTTTTTGGACTAAAAAATTGAGGTTGAAAATATGGATGTTTGGGTTAACTTTTTGATTTTTTATGGAAAAATGTGTAATAAAAAATTGTAAAAATTGATTTGTTGGGAAAAATTCGAAGAATAATGACTTGGACCCTTTTTTTTCCCACCCCCTTGACCCCTTCTTCACTTGATTGGTTACTTTTTCTTTCTTTCTTTTTTTTTATTCTTTCTCCTCCAATCACCACCCGCCACGTGTCTGTGGGGGGGGGTGGTGGGGGTGGTGATTAGAGAGGGTCTCAATCATCACCCATAAAATAATTATGACCTCCGAGAAATATAAGTATTTCGAGGCTGCGCATAGTATTAGTAATACGAAAAATGCCTAACACCCCCAGTGGGGGTCACTGGGGGTCGTTTTTCATTGGCCAAAAAATGATTTTCCTTTTTTCTTTTTTTTTTTCCAGCCAATGGGGGGTGACACCTGACTGGGGTTGCCAGTGGGGGTCACCCCACTAGGGCTCTGTAGCATGGCCCTAGTAATACAGGCCCAAACCATGATTGGTCTGTGATTGAAGACCGGCATTTCTATATGGATCAAATAGTCCACTATACGACTTGGGCTTTGATTGAGCCCAACTTAGGCTTGGCCTAGATAGCAATCTAGCTCGGCTCATCCTGATGGTCTTGTGTGGCAATCAAGATCTCCTTCTTGTATTTTTTACTTGCAGGGTCATTGGCTCACATTTAGGCCTAATTTTAATAATTCGAACCGTTCATATTTTAAGATTTATTCAGTATATCATACCTGTAAAAAATCAAATTAATCGAATATCAGAAAGCATGTGTTCGAAAATGTGTTTATTAAATTCTTTAAAAAAATAGTTTTTAGCTCGAGTTTTCTGAACACATGCTTTCTGATATCCGATCAACTTGATTTTTTACAGATATGATATACTGAACAAATCTTAAAATATGAACGGTTCAGATTATCAAAATTGGGCCTAAAAGTGCGCCAAATGATCCTGCAAGTAGGAAATATAAGGAGGAAATGCAAGGAGGAGATTCTAATTCCTTGTGTGGAACTCAAAGTCTAGTTCTGATGTATTCTTATAAATTGTTTTAATATAATGAAATTACATTTTTCTTAAAAGTCTCCTGTATTATTATATAATTAAAAAGGTTATAAGACTTTTGAGGGTAAAATCCCGATCTAAAAATTTTCTGCAGTGATAAGAGAGAAAAAATTTGTCAGAAAAGAAAAATGTAAATGATTTTAAAATAGAAACTTAAGTCATTTATGAATAATGACTCAATAGAAGTAGTTAGTTATTGTTTTAACATTGCTTTTAGTTAATTTTTTTCTAACTATTTATTTGAATATGATAGTTTAGTTTGGTGTGAATATGATCATACATATGTTTTGGTGCATATCTACATTTGATTAGCTTCCAATATTACGTGACTATTTTCTAATTATTTCATATAGTGCGCGTTCTGAAAGTTGTTATTTTAGTAGGTTAAAATTTTTGTATTTAGGAAGATAGGTAGATTTTTTTATGTTGTTAGATGTAATGTTTGTAACAAAAAAAGTGAAATGATTATGGATTTGATGTGACATTTTATCTTATTAGCTATTTAGCTTATTTTATCTTTTTGTTAATTTTAGCCCAAAAATGGCTAAAATCCAACTTGCTAAATTTATCACGTGAAACTTGTAATGTTATTTATCAAAAAAGTAACAACAAAAAATATTAAGCAATAAATATAAAGTTTGAACCCTACCTAAATTTGCTTCCGACCAAAATAAATTTTCAATTCCAATGGATGTACAAATGAAAGAATCATTATAGAGTCATCTATCATCTAGACAACAATGCACAAAAATATTGTTGAGAAGAAGAATGACAAAATACTTCTCTCCCAATATGACCGTTACAGGCGATTTGCAAACTACAAAATGACAGGATGATCCTGAATGCTCCAAAGAGGAGATCGATCACTTGATTCGAAGTAAAAAGAAGATTAAAAGCTCCATCGATCGACCAGAAGATGAACCGATGAAGGAATCTGCTCCAAATGGAAAAGATGAAGGAGATGTGCGAAGCCCTAGATCCTCTCCTGAAGAAGAAAACGCAAAACAAGCTGATGACAAAAGGGAAGCCATCAATACTGATCAAATGGAGGGCATAGAGGCAACCAAAACAGTAGCAAAATCATTCAAACAAGCCCTACTAAGACTGAAATTCATTGAGAATGGAAATGGAAAAAATTTCGAGCATGGTGTTGAGGAAATCTTTTCGGATGAGGATGAAGAAGCCCCTGACGGAGAGGAAGAAAAAATGGATGAAAAGGAAACTATGAATGGAATTCCCAAAGTTAGTATTCCACCAGGTCTCCTGAAGAAAATCCGGGAACCATGGAAAAACTATTTGATTGTCAAACTCCTGGGAAAAATCATAGGATACAAGTTATTTATGGCCAAAATGACCAAAATATAGGGGTTACAAGCTGACTTTGAAGCATTGGATATTGGCAATGGCTTCTTTATTGTGAAGTTTGATATGGCTGATGATTATAACAAGGTTTTCATTGGGAAACTGTGAGTTGTCATGGATCACTATGTAACAGTGAGGAAATGGCAACAAGACTTCAAGTTGAATGAAACAGATGAGGATACCACAATGATTTGGATGCGATTTCCTAATCTATCGATTGAATATTACAATGAGAAGGTCCTCTACCACATTACCAAAGTACTTGGAGTCCCTTTAAAGATCGATATCAACACAGTTATGGCTGCGAGAGGAAAATATGCAAGAGTTTGCATAGAAATAGATCTCAGAAAACCTCTGATTCATCATTTTCTATAGTTAACCACATTAATGGAGTTGAATATGAACATTTGCACTCATAGTGTTTTTTCTATGGTAGGTTTGGGCATCAGAAGGAAGCATGCAGTGACAGAGTTATGTCGATGCCAGAGAGGATAGAACAACAATTGAACAGAGTTGGCCACCAGATAGTTGAAGCTCACGATGCCAATGGGCCAAGCCCAAGGGAAGAGGAAATGAAAGACCCAAACTCAGGGAACTATGGACCTTAGATGATGGTTCAGAATAAAAAAAGAAGAAATAGAGGCCCAATGGGTACCAAGTCATAAGCGGCCCAAAAGAGCAATAGGTTTGAAGCGTTAAGAGAAGAAGGAGGGAAAGAAGTAGCCAAATCCCATTTTGGCAAGGAGAAAAATTAGGGTAAAGTCCATGAAAATATGGGCTTAAGTAATAAGACTAAAGTAATAGAAAAGAGTAAAGTGAGTACTAGCACTAAAATGGCTAAAGAACAGAAAGGAGAGGCAAACAGTCTAGGAAAGGAAGACTTATTTGACATGAGGATACGAGATCAAAAAGCAAAAATGGGAAAACGTGAAACATCTAATCCGCAGAGAACCGCCAAACAACCAGCTATTACTTCCCACCAGTCCATTATTTAACTAGCCAACTAGGGGTGAGCATGGTTCGGATTAGACCGGATTGGGGTAAAACCAGGACCAATCCGTTATCTACGATTCCTGAAAAATTGGAATCAATCCAATCCGTTTAAATCATGGAACCAATCGGAACCAATCCATTTAAATACGGATTGGATCGGTTTAGGACCACGGATTCACATAATCAAATAACAAAAAAATATATATAACACTTTTATTTCATAAAAATATAAACATAGCGCTATATTAGCTCCACAATAGCAACATCTATTTCTATAATAGTGACATATTGTGCTAAAATTTAAACAACCATAAGAAAACTGGTTTCATTATAAGTATTTAGACCATTACAAATTAAAACTAAAAACTAACAAACAAAAGTAATAAAAGAAGATATTATACGGTTTTAGGTTTGAGTTTAGATTTTATATAGAATAAGAGAAGATACTATGGGGGAGGATGTATAATAAAAATATATACTATTTGTATACGGTCCGGATCGGTTCCAATCCGGAACCAATCCGTGTACTACGGATTTTTAATTTTTCAATCCGGAATCGAACCACAGATTCAAAAAACCAATCCAAACCTATCGGATTGGACTGGACTGGATCAGATTACGGATTTCACGAATTCCTTGCTCAGCCCTATAGCCAACTCAAGAAATAAGTTGTTAAGCACAGGGACCAAGGTGGAAAATTCAAAGCCCAAATCCAGAGTTCCACCGAATAAAAATGGAGAATGAATGAGAGAACCACCAGACAGAGGTGCACAAACTCGAACAGAACAAAGTATTGATGAACTTCTCCCCAGGGAAAGAAGTATTGCACCTCATCACCTCCGAATGGTGAAACGAGGAAGTAAAGTTGAGGATAATACCATGGAGGCAAATATAAGCGAGACAAGACAGACACTACATCTCAATGACACTACTCAAGATGATGGACGAGAACTACAAAGCACTAAGGGGATATCTGGGAATTGACTGCCAGGTCCCCTTACCTGATCAAGAAATTTCATCTATGGATTTGCTTATTTGGAATTGTAGGGGAGCAGGAAATAAGAGATTCAAAAGGAATCTAAGGAAATTAGTCCAAATCCACAGAGCAGAATTGATGATATTTATGGAGACTAAAGTTGAATTCAAATTGATGGGGACGTTCTTCAATTGTATAGGTTTTACAACCTCAATCCATGTGGATCCTACAGGTAGAAGTGGATATATTTGGATGCTTTGGAACCCTAATGTTGTTAATGTACGGGTGGTAGAAACTAGCTCGCAGCAGATTATAGCTAACATTTTAAGGCAAGATTACCCTGATTGGCTACTATCAACTGTCTATGCTAGGCCAAGTAGTGCCAAGAGAGATGATCTTTGGGACCAGCTAGAGGCTATTGCCCAACACATGAATGATCCTTGGTTAGTTGCTGGGGATTTTAATGATTTTACTACTGCTAATGACAAGAGAAGTTTCCATGGAAGTCACCAACAGACCTTCAGCCGAGACCAGAGGAGGAGTAGAAAGTTCAATGAGAGAATTGACAATTGTAAGCTGATAGATTTGGGATGCATAGGACCAATGCTGACTTGGTCTAACAATAGGGAAGGTTGGTCCAACACTATGGTAAGATTGGATAGGGCTATGTGCAACACTGAATGGAGAACTACCTTTCCAGATGGAGCTGTGAGGAACCTCCCGTGCACCTATTCAGACCATTCACTTATGATTTTGTTCACTTAAGGTAAGTTCCTATTTATTTCCAATCATAAATCCTTTAAATTTTTGGCTTCTTGGATCACTCATGAGTATTTTAAGAATGTGGTGGATGTGAGCTAGAGTAAAAATAACACTTCCATGTGTAATAAGTTACAAACACTTGGTCAAGAGGCTAGTGTTTGGAATAATGAGGTGTTTGGTAATATTTTTCGAATGAAGAGGTGGTTATTGGGAAGAATTAAAGGCATACAAAAATCTCAAGCCATCAATTATTCCCATAACCTCCACAACCTTGAGCTGGATTTAGTTGACCAATATAATAAAGTCTTATATCAAGAGGAGCTCTTGTTGTTCCAAAAGTCTAAAACCAATTGGATTACTTAGGGAGAGAGGAATACTAAGTATTTCCACCTTATTACCTTGAATAAAAGGAGGAGAATGAGAATTGAGATTCTTAAAGATGAGAATGGTTATTGGGTTGACCAGACTAATCAACTCAAAAGCCTCATCACTTCATACTTTGTTAAGTTGCTTAGTGTTTCTCACACTGTCTCTCTTGAACAGTGGAACAATTTGGTGAGATGCAAAATTAACCATGAGGACAACTTGGATCTCATTAGAAATTTATCTGATGAGGAGATTTGGAGGGCTGTGAAAAACATCAATGCCTTTAAGGCCCTAGGAAGGGATGGGTTTCAAGTTTTATCATACTTATTGGGCATGATGTTTGTGATTTTGTGAAAAAACTATTTTTCTGATAAGCAAATTCCTCATGAGGTCAATAAAACTCTAATTGCTCTAATTCCAAAAACTAAAAGCCCTGAGAGTATCAAGCATTTTAGACCTATAATCCTTTGTAATGTTTCTATAAAATTATCTCCAATATTATTGTGGTAGAATTAGACCTTTTTTAAGCAAAAATTATCAGACCTAACCAAAGCAGTTTTATCTCTGGCCATAACACTAGTGATATCATTATTATTTCTCAAGAGATCATTCATTCCTTGAATCATAAGAGAGGCAAGAAAAGGGGCATGATTTTTAAAATTGATTTGGAAAAGGCGTATGACAACCTAGGATTTTCTAAAACAAACTTTGGAGAAATTTAACTTTGACAAAAATCTGGTTGATCTTATTATGAGCCGTGTCACTAGTGTTAGTACTGCTATTATCTAGGATGGTGAGCCCCTGGAGGAGTTTAAACCTTAAAGGGGTTTGAGGCAGGGAGATTCTCTATCTCCTTACCTGTTTGTTTTATGCATGGAGAGACTTTCGCAATATAATCAGCTTCAAAGCTAATAACAAATATTGGGAAGGTATTGAGCCAAGTAGATGAGGTCTTGATATTACACATTTATTCTTTGCTGATGACCTCATGCTGTTTGGTCAAGCTACCATGTCTATTTGTAGCACTACTATGAGAGTGATGGAGGAATTTTGTGACATCTGTGGGCTGAAAATTAATCTTAACAAGTCCAAACTCTATGTGTCTCCTAACATTGATTGGAGGAAAGCTAGAGATTTGAGCTCTATGTGTGCTATCTCTCTAACTAATGATCACTCATTCATGGAATAGTTATGTGGGGGCATATTTTGTGAATAAAGGCACGTGGCCGAGGTGACGCTGACGTATCAGCCAGAGTGTCATATGGCTTAGTCATGATGCCGAGGTTATCTTGGCTAGGTTGAGGTTATCCGTGAAGATATCGGAATTCGGGATAGGCAGATAAAGGACAAGAATCCTAGAATAGGGGAGGACCTCAATCTGGATAAAGATAAAGCTCTTAGGGAGTTTATCTCTATCTAGTTAAGAGTCCCAAATAAGCATTGAGCCAGAGTCCATTGAAGCTAGGCTTTTATAAGGATCATGTTAGTGCTGACTGTAAAAGTAAGGCACTCTTGTGAGTTTAAGGTACGCTTTTTGTGTTTTGTCTAGTGAGTTAAGTACTGTTTGCTTTCTTTGAGAGATAACTGAATACTGACTTGATCGTCGGAGTGCCCCGGGTGGACGAACCACAGCCAGAGTCTTATCTTTCTGTGATAGGTTGTTCGGGCGTGATCTATTCTGTCTATGCTCTCCAGCTGAGTTCCTGTTTGGCAGTATGGTCGGAAATCAGCACCCACAATTTGGCACTGTTTGTGGGAAACGTAAAGAGAATAGATGGCCAACGACGGGCAGAAAGAGAAGATTGGGGACGACATCCCTAGTGGGAGTGGTAAACACGCCGATCCTAACATGGAGGAGGAGAACTGTAATGAAGAACCTTGGGATCAGAATCCTGGTGAAAAGGACGCCGGCCAAAAGGGAGACGTACCGAAGAAATCAGGCCGAGGCGAATATTACAACGAAGGCGACTTCCAGGTATGGAAAGATAGATGCATAAGGAGGGACGGCGAGATGAAGGGAATGGCAAACAAATTGGCAGACCTACAATCGATTGTCAACTTCATGATGCAAAACAGTCATGCAGCCACCATTCCCATTGGAGGACACGCCGATTCCTACGGCCAAGAACGATGCCCAGAAAGGGGAGCAAAAAGTAATCCCTGCAATCCCTCAGCATGACAGAATAAAGGAGCATTCACATCGACTTTCACGGGAGGTCGGGTAAGGAGAATCGATGAGAGGAGAGTCTCAGAAGACACCTCGTGCTAGGGAAACTTATGTCAAGGAACATTGACGTGTTCAAGGGAAGGAGCTTTGTTTTGACACAAATAATGAAGGGACGTCCAAGAGAACTCATAACGACACCGGGAGCAGCACACCAAAAAGGCTAAAATCCCTTGACAGGCGAGCTCCTAGACAGACTAAGGAGGATTTGAGGGACTACCTCTAGAGAAAGCGACAAGATGCTGAGGTCACATCTCCGGTCAAGCCGAGAACGCTGTTCTCAGTAGAATTGGATAAGTTTGAGGCCTTGAAAAGGTTCCATATGCTGAGAATCCAGATATATGACAGTAAGTCCGATCATAACTTTCACGTCGGCTTATATTTAAACTCAATGGCATTGTATACTGGGAACGAACCGTTGCTCTGCAAAGTGTTCCCCTCATCCTTTGGGGAAATCGCATCAAATTGGTTTCACAAGTTGTCGAAAGAAATGTGAAAAGTTGGGAAGGCCTGGCCGAGATGTTTGTGGCTAGGTTTGTTACAAACAAACTGCAGCCGTTGAGGGTAGACTCCCTGATGGCTTTGAGAATTGGTGAGGATGAAAGCCTCAGGGTTTATGCTAAAAGGCATTATGAGGTGTTTAACCGAATACCAAGGTGTAACCAAGAGTTGGCGGTCGTATCTTTTAAGAACGGCCTAAACGATGACTGTATGCTTCGAAAGTCACTGGCAAAGACACTGCCAAAAAGTATGGACGAACTCATGGCTAGAATCGAGAAATATACGAGAGCAAAAGAAGACACACTAGGAACAAAGGCGTCAAAGAAAGCGAAGAGGAACGACTTGTTGAAGCGAGGCCGAGGTAATACAAATTTTAATAAACAAGAAACATGACTGAGGGCTGCACAGGTAGTCACCATAGTGTTCTGGATCTCGATTTACAAAGTCTTGGAAAGGATCAGGAACCAGCCGTACTATAGAGCCCTAGAGAAGATTCTCAGCGAATATATGGGAAGAAGCCTTGGGAAGCACTGTGCCTACCACAATGAGGATGGGCATCTAACTCAGGGGTGCAGAGCCCTAAAGACACATTTGGAAGATCTGGTCAAACAGGGCTGTAGACGTCCCCGAACGCTTCGGGAGGGTGAGCCCCGTTCTGTTCATTTGGGGTCACTACAGCTCAGGATTCTCAAATTGTCACGATTCTAAATCTGAACCAAAGAGTCCAAACGTCTCCCCAGGTGCTGGAGCTCCTGTTGGGGGAGGAACTTGTTGTGAAGCGGACGCGTCGCTTTGCTGTTACAGCTTGATGATGAGCTCGGCCTGCTGGGCCATGATTGCAGCCTGCTGTTTGGCAAATTCCTCCTGACGGGCAGCCTCCTACTGCATGAGTTTCATACTTTCTTGCATCTGGCGCATCATTGCCTCCATCTCTGATGTGTTCTGCTGATCCATCTATCTGACTGGTATCTATCCCTGCAGTAGAAACTGAGACCTCAGCCTGACTGTTTACTGGTGGGGTGGATAAGGGCTACTGATCTGGTAACTGCTGATAGCTGTTAAACTGGTGATCTATGCCCGACTTGCCCCTTTACCCCGCCTCTGGCAAAGGAACACTGATTGCCCTTGAACTGAATCTCTGACCTGACAAAGTCTATCATCACAAGTTCGCTGAACCTTGGGGGATATCGGAGCCTTCTGAAGCTACGGTTCCCAGACTACCTAGCAAAAGAGAAAACAGAAAGCATCTCAGCCTGATTCCATCTGAACAGATACGAGCATAGTTGAATGAGTGTGCCCTCTACTGAATTCTGCCCCAAAATTCGGCCTCAAAATTTGAGTCTGATACCCACAGGTAAAGCTGATTCCCAAATACTGATAGTAATGCCTGCAGGCCCGATGCCAAAATTCGCAAACTGGTGCCCGCAGGCCTGATGCCCAAACTCATACACTGATACATTCATTCCTGTAGAGACGCACTCTAAAGCACATAACAAATAAGTGAGAGCCAAAACACCCCTATGAAGGGGTAGGGTTTCCCTGTCCTATTTTGTCAGGAGCTAGGGTTTCACTACGCATGCAGCGGTTTCAAACAACCTATAAACGGGTAAGCAACCTGTCCTAGTATGGAATGGTCACTATGGATTCCGAATATGCACTAGGTCGAATGGTCAAAGAGGGTGCCCCGGTAAAACCGGGGTTTGTGTTCCCATACTGGCAGAGCCCACAACCGGTCAGCCTTATGGTCATGCCTTGACAAGACAAGCCTCCGGCAAACCGTTCAGGAATAGCAGATGGCAAACACGGTGTCCTAGGCGCACTAATGCAAATGCAATGCAAAGAAACACACAAGTGTAGTAAAAAACAGATATCATGAATTCGAGTCAAGTTCTCAAAATCCCCAGCAGAGTCG